ACGCACGAATACGTGGTGCCTCAGAGACATCCAGTCGCAGACACGCATGTACACTCTCTTGAGCAAGCTCTTCCGAAGGAAAGCCCTCTGCAACAGCTCGGGGTGCCCTTCCGGGAGCGGGCGAAATGTTTCCAGTGACTTATGCAGCCAAGTTCCTAAGTCGATTCCGATCACTGGGCCATCGATCTTCTTGTCCTCTTCTTTGGCGGCCGCGAAGGCCGCCAGAGCAAAAACGGTCACAAAGGCTACTTTCCACATGGTCACTCGAGGTTCAGCTTCTACCAAAAATGCCTTGCAGGCTTGAGCACATCGGACGGAGTGCTATGTCTGTGAGCAGCGCACACCCTGGCAAGATGCTTCATGTCCCAGGGTAAGTCTTTGAGAAACTGGAACATGAGAACCAGGTGAAATCACCATCAACACTCCACGGCTATGTGCAAGTACCAAGGAGTTGACTGGGAACAAAAACACACTCCAGTTGGGCGGTGACGCGCCTGATCGACCGAGCGCTTCTCTCACGCTCTCCTCGTAAGTAGACGCAAATGCCTTCGGATTTGGAAAACAGTCAACGCACAGCGCAGACTCGCAGCGTCCGTCTGTGCGCTCCAGCAAAAAGCCTTATCGAAAAGAAAACTGTTATCTGAAAAGTGTCGGCTTTTGCGTCAGTGGAACTAGCGCATTATGTGGAGATGCTCTGACGGGAAAGGGCGCCTTCAGGTGCAGTCGCCGTACGCTGCTCATCTCGAGCTCCATGAAATCTGTGCAGGGCGTCTTCATCCGCAGCCGTCAGTAAGCGGGTTGGCTGCCATACAATGTCTACACAAGGAACACCTGCCTCGAACGGCATCTAGCTCTTCCTTCTGCACGGACTTCAAGACCCGACCACTCACTTTCTCCAGGCAGGACTTGTAGACCTGTTCTCTGGCCAGCACGAAACCCTCTTGCCCTAGCCCGGCGTTAACCCGTCTGAGCCTCCATTGCCGTTTCCTCCACTGCGCTGAGGGGCAAGCGGAACTTGGCCATCTGGAACGCCAGGATAAGACAGCGCCAGCATGCGGTTCCATGCCCCGGACATGCGCCTCATCGCTCAGATCAGGCTTCATCTCCGCCAACTTGCTCTTCTCATCCTGAAAAACAGGTGCAACGTTTGAGCGCAAGCGACACTGGGCGCAAGCGAATGTTTTTTGCGACCCGAACCGGTGGCAATCAAGAGGTTGTTGCTTCTCCGGATTTCGCTGCCAGCAAGTCCTTCTACGTGGGATAGAGGCGGGTTGCTGTGGACACAAATTTTGAGTTGTCTGGGTTACATTTGCTTTTGCTCATCGCCTGGTATGTGCGGGGGGGGCCGTCCGGCAAACAACGGAACCAGTCCATGGGCCAAGACTGTGGTGTGCTAAGGCACGTCGGGACCGATAAGTCGAATGAAGCGCACCCTTGACCGCCTAGACCTGGTAGATCCGTTGGAGAGTTCGCTTGTCTAGACATTCACACCACACCACTTTGCGCATCAGGATCTGTAAGCAGTGTTGCAAATTCGGAAACGTGCTGCACCCAATGTGCATTCTTGCAGCTCGTGCTGTGCTGCTGCTCAGTCTGTCCTTGTTGTTAGATGCGCCAGCATGCCGATCCGGTCGTTGTTTGCCAAACAATCCGGCAAGCACAAGACTCTGACGATGATCCGTTATGCCCGGAGCCTGGGCTTTCTTGATGCAGCTCAAATACATCTCACGGAGCCGCGGCTGACCTCATAGAGCAGTGGAAAGAAAACAAGGACATGTTCATCAGATCCGAGGCTCCTGCAAGTCTCGACTCTGGCGGCTTCCGCATCTTCCTGACGGCTGCACAGCACTCCTACTGATTCTACATCAACCTGCATCAACCTGCAATCTAACGTCTCTAGGCCTCCGAAAGCTCAAGAATGCTGGCGAAGTGATCTGGATCGGAAGCAGGCGCCTGGCATGATGTGGCATGATGCCCAGCTATGCTCAGCAATACAAAATTTCACCCCCTGCCTCGCCCTTCAGGGAGCGCTCAAGGTAGAGGCCGTACAACCTCAGAGAGGCGAATTTGGCAAGGAGAGGCCAAGGCTGAGCGGCGAAGGCCGCCGAGGCCGCCGAGGCCGCCACCGCCGTCCGGGCAAGGGGTCCGCGGTCAGCGTCAAGCGCCCATCCTCCCGAGGCAAGGCAAGGTGGCAAGGCCATCCTTCCATGCCGCCATCTGCCTCCACTTCCTCCTCTGTCTCCTTCAGTCCCGCCTGAGCTGAATGTGGTTCTGCTGTGAAGACATATTTGCCAGAGGGGCTGGCCAGCATCTGCTTCAACATGGTGTCCGAAGCTTTGGTCAAAGCCATCATCTGGTCAGGAAGCTGCGCACACTCCCAACGCGGCACCCCTAAATACGCCCTCATCCCGACTGTCGAGACAGCTAACGTCTCAACGAACTGCAGACACTGCACCATGAAGCTCGAATCCCACAAGGGACAGCACGGTATAGTACAACAGCTTAAGCGAGCGTTTGCCAAATGGATGCTGATGTCACTTGCGGAGCTTGTGCTGACTTCATGCCGCTTCGGGTACACTGCGAAATCTACCAACAAGGGCCCGCTTTCAGCAAACGCCAACAACAAGAGTCTGACGACTGACTCGGAAGTAAGCGAAGGCCTCATCCATAGTCCCCAAAGCCTTCGTGGCACTTGTACGCGCTTCCTCGCACAGCTTGTTGCCCGATGCTATTGTCGGCGTTGTCAGCGTGTCTCAACGTGCGATACAGTCCTTGCAGGCCACGTTGTACATGGACCGCAGAATCTCCTGCAGTGCCTGCAGGCAAATGAAATTGGAATGTGACATTGCCACGACTGAAGCAACCAGAAACCCACGAGCCTGTCGGACACAGGTGAAGGTCGAAGCGCTGGAGAGGCCGATTTCCTGGCACAAGGCATGGAATCCTGGAAGCTTCGTGACCTACACCTCATTCTGGCCACATACGAGGCAAATTCGCCTCAAGCGGTCAGAGGTTCCCACGGGGATTCCCTGTTTCCCCACCTCTTAATCCCCTCGCCAGTGACCCACCTCCCCCCCTAATCGAAGCCACCCCCGCCCGCTTTAAAATTGGACTCGCATTCTGGAGACTCGGCTCGAAGCAAGACAGGCTAGCGTACATCATTCGTGAAGTTGATGCCAAAGCCTGAGAAAACTGGGGTACTTTGCAACAAACTTGATTCCCCATTCCCCTTCCAAAATATGCAAGGTTGTAGTGAGAAGTGTAGTACGATGTTGATAGTAACGTGTATAGGATAATGCAGTGGATGTACCACCTTTCGCGATTGATTATTGCTCAGAGCCTCAGCATGAAAACAAATACTGTCATCAAAAGCACATTCTGAAGCTCCTTCACGCAAGACCTCACCCGTGTGACCTCTTGCTCTCCGAAACAATGCAGCTGCTTCAAGCACAGCCGGGCCGAGACGGACGACGCCAAGCGTTAGCGGTTTGAAGCATCTCGGCGGCCTCTCCACGAGATGCCAGCTTTGACGAGAACTCCTTCAGCTTCTCTGCCGCCACGGTGGAATCCTGAGCAACGCTGCGCAGGATCGGACGAGATGCAGTCTCCAGCTGCTGTAGGCAAGTCTGAGATAACGTCCTTCAGACTCGGCAGTAGGGTGTCAAGCTCCTCGTTTAAAGCAAGAGGACCACTGCAAGCATCGGTGGCTGCAGAAATGATCTGCCTTGCAATCTGCGATCTGGCCTTGTGAAGAATTGGACCTGAAACGGCGGCAAAGGCGGCTGAGGCTGCTTTGTCCCGCAGCTGCAGAACTCCTGCAAGGTGGCCAACTGAACTTGCAAGACTGCTAGACATGACATCAACATCACACCGGCTCCACAAAGACGGGCTGGCAATCTTTTTGAGAAACGATCTGCGGTCTGCGCGCTCCGAGCAGCCGAGAGCTCCGAGAGCCCCGAGACCACCGAGAGCACCAGCACCGTCTCGTGATCCAATGTCCGCTCTCAAAAGGCTCTTTCGGAAACGAGTCGGACATGCCACGCTGCCACTGCGCGTTCGACTCCTAGGGTCCACCTTCCGAAACTTCCGCCCGCAGAGAGACGTGCCTTGCACCTGTCGACCGCGGCTCCTTCTGCTCCAACCATCAAAGTTCGACTGCAAACAGCATGTCGTTGCCTTAGGAAGAGAAGCCGTGCACGACGCCAAGAGGCAACGACGGCTTGAAAGCTAGTTTGCCCATTTTCTGTCCAGCGACCGCGGGCAAATAACCAGAGCACACAGAAAAGCAACAGCAGCATGGCGCTTGTGTACAGGACGACCGAGAGACATCCTCAGGAACATAACAGGCAGTCGGTCAAGGAAGCATGACTTGGCAGCATCGTCGGTACCTTCTTGTGTCTCGGCACCAGCTTTATTCATCGCCGGTGTTGGTTTTGTACCTTGGGCTCCACATAACCGAAAGCTGAAGTAAACCCAAGTATGTTGGACTGCGACGTGGCTTAAGTCAAGGACCGTTGCCGTTGACTTCGGAGCTTTCGGCATCATGAAACAGCTCTGCCGTTGGCGCGAAGTCTTCGGGAGCATAAGAGGGTCTCTGAAAGCAGCATGATGTAAGCCAAGACCTCAGCACTGCGACAATCGCGAGTTGCAGGAGGAAGAAGTGACTATGACGTCAATCTCAGCCTGCTGCGGCCAAACAGGCTCATCACGAACTGGAAAGGCCTGCCAGGTGGTACGGAGTTAGGTTGTTTCCGAGGCTCGTGTGGCTGTGCACTTTGGCCTTCAGACCATTTTCAGGGTCTGCTGCCCGTGCCGCTCGGTGAATGGCAGCCTCGAGCTCTGCAACTTGGCGGCCATGTGGCCACAGGAAGGCGTAAGCCATCCTCAAAAGCTTGCCAGCCTCAAGTCAAAGGCGACGTGGGAACGCATGACACGCGAACTAGTTTCTTGCGTTGCGTGACGCCGAGGAACGTCAGGCTTCCAACGTTCCCCCACGCCACGATACCCACCACGGATCTCCAAAGGAAGGTCATCGGGACGGTAGCCGAATCTGTTCAGCAAGGGCTGTTCATCGGTCTCCATGTCCTGGAGTTGCCGCGATAGACATCTGTGACCGTGGTCGCCTCCACTTTATGCAGCAACGTGGAATGAAAGGTGCATCCAAGGTGCCACCTTCGACCGAGTATTCTCATCCACAAACCTCGCTCTGCTAAGCAAATGCATCTACCGTCATCTACCCTGCCAGACTGCAGCAGATTAAAGGCACGGCCGAAACAGAAGCAAGCTGGTCAAGCCGGGGCACCACATAACCTGGCGCACCAGAGAGACGAAGGATGCAGGAACGGGATACACGATGGCCACTTTGAGCCGCTCCGGGTAGTTGTTTTGAAAAGCTGAAACCATCCTCAGTTTGCACAGACGCAAAGGTTGGCCAAGGAGATCGCTTCGGTTTGGGCATCGCCACAGCTTTGTCAAGGCGAGCCAAGATTCACATGCGCCCATGCCACAGGAGGGGGGGAGCCGAACACCAAAGCACCTCGTTCCACGGGTCATACTGGTTAATTGGTTAATCAATCCATCGAAGTCCGTCAAGACTGAAGTTCTACGGCTCCAAGCGTTTTGGACGAGCTACATATTTGGTGCACACCTCGCTGCTCCATCGAATCGATGTTGTCCTCGAAAAATCTGAGAGCCGCCAGTACCAAGGCGGCTTCAGACACCGCCTGGTCATCCAACAGAAGCAATCAGAGCATCGCAACGTGTCTTTCTCCACTGGACTTGACTTACAAGCAACGAGCCTCAGTGGCAAAGCCACCAAATAAGAAGTTGACGAGAAGCACCTCAGAACAGCATGTCAAAGTCAGCACACAAAAGACATGTGCACGATCCATGGAAGAATGCCGGAGCAAACACTTTTCATAACCAACACTAGCTTCAGCTAAAGTCGTGAAACTCCCGGGGCAGCTGCAGCAGCCGCAGCAGCAGCAGCAGCAGCAGCAGCAGCAGCGACGACAGAACGACGTGCCGTCTTCCAGCTTACATCTGCGCAGCTCAGTTGTCGCTTCTTCTTCATGGGGCAAGCCAGCAACTTGATGTTCACATTTTCGCACTGCCGCGAATGCATGCGCGTAGTGGGAAGCTGGATGAGCTGGAGCCGGGCCCTCTGCTTCGCATAGTACTTTCTTATCGGGGTAAGTTGTCTCCGCAGCTTCAGTTTCATTTTACATGCCTTTGTCTTGGTTGGAGTGCTCAACCTTGCGATGATTGATATTCGAAATCATTCGAATGCTGCTCAGAAAAGTTGGCGTTTGCGAACCCCACGACATGTCTGGTTTCATTATCGTTTGATTTGTCACAGCCGCTTTGTCATCCTCTCAGTTTCCGACCTCTAGTTTGCTAAGCAACGCTTTTGCCGAGGCCCACGGAGTGCAAAGTCCAGTAATGCAGTCGCCTCAGTGCGGCCTCATTCCATGTGTATCTGTGAAATTCATCTCCGAGCGGGGATTGAGAAGCAATCTGACCACTACCACATTATCTCCTGCCGCAACATGGAAGAGCGGGGTCTGATTGCTTTTGTCGACCACTGCCAAGTCAGCACTGTAAGTACACCATTTCGGATACACTTCTCCCAACCACGTCGGATACATGCTGTGCGGCGAAACGACAAATACTGTATCTGGTCCAGAAGACTGCGGTGCCAATCCATCACGGCTACTTCTGGCACTTACCTGGCTTCCACAGACTCGCCATTTAGTACCTTTGCAAAACAGTGGCTCCATGTCTCATCCTAGGTCAACGAAAGCTAGCCACGTCTGAGCACTCACATTGGCCATCATCAACAGGTGACAGTGATTTGCCGAAAGGCAGTTTGCATAGGGCAACCTCCCCCCCTTTCGAAATGGTGCTAGAATGCGCTTTCATTCGGGCTATCCCAGCGAGGTGCGATTGTGAGTTCTGCACGAAGCAAAGTGCCCCAAAGCATGACTGTCCAGAGTTGTGAAGGCAAGGAATAAACTTAGTCGTGAGGGCATGGGTGCTCGACGAAAGTCTTGAGAACGTAGCCTTGCATCGCTCCAGAATCCCTTCTCGAAATGCTGGCCTTTACCTTCCGGAAGATACCTTCCCCATTGCTAGGGGCACCAAATTAAAAGATCTGAAATCGAATTGAAGAGGTGATCTCACTTTCTTGCAACGGCCTCCGCAGAAAAAAACAACAACTCATCTTGGCCTGCAGTGCTGAAAACAAAGCATCCCAAAAGCTTCTAATTGATTGTGATGACACAACCGCGACCTGACTAGGGAGCTAGCGACAGCCAAGGCACGGGACAACCATCGCTGTCCTCTCGCAAGCGG